TAAAGGTTTTGTTTTCTTTCTATGTGTCTAAGAGGGGGCCAAAAGTGTTTGACCTGGGCCACTTAGAAGATTAGTCTGGCTATGTTTAAACCAAACTTAAACCTAGCTATAAACACACCCAATAGCCCGATGTCCCATGCTGGAAGTTACAAGTGTGGGGACCTTTCTGTCCCCACACGCGTCCCCACAGCACCGTTAAAACCAGCCCTGCCACGGTGCGCTGGGGAGGAGGGTAAGAAACGCCCCCTGTGGGCGGGCCTTCCCGCTGACCGTGCGCCGACAAACACCGTGAGGGACTGTGCTCTGCACGCGCGGCTCTAGAGCGAAGAGCAAGAGGAGTTTGGATCACTCCGCCGGGGCTTTAACGTGAACTAGAGCCGCAGACGGAGTAGCGGGCAGGCTGCTGTTGGTGCCCAGTCCCGGTACTAACTAACGCTTATTCCTCCGCAGACCGTGGAGCTCCACAGGTACTCTGATCTGAGGTTTACCGGGATCTGTGTGTCTGTAAGTACTGCGAAAAACAGAGGTACTACTGCTCTGAGGAGGGAGGGGGCTCACTATTCTGAGGTCAGCTCAGATATGTTTGTACTCGCAGGGCTCTGAAGCTTCACAGCTTCACCTGCTCACAGGTACAGGTGTACTCTCTCTCTCTGACACGCACACCGGACCAGATGCTCCGACCAGGGGTTTACTGTGTGTGTGTGTGTGTGTCTCAGGCTTTATTACATGAAGAAAAATGAACAGTTTAATGTAAAATGATTAGTTTGAAAGCAGGAGGCTGGCACCAGAGTTGTGATGGTGTTGGTTTGTGTAGGTGGAGTAGATCAGTGTAAAGCAGAAGTCACACACTTTTTCTTGTGCCGAGAGCGGAGCAGAGACTGATGCTGAACTGGGAGAGGTCTGAATTGCAGTACTCTGACTCACAGTACACAGGACTCGAAGTATTTGAGTATCTGCTGCTAGCGTCCTGTGTTAGATACCACAGGGACCCTCACAGGTTGGGCTTTGCTGCAGTGTGAGGACCAAAAGCTTATTAGGCACTGGTGTTCCTAATATTTTGTCTGTGTTAGTGGGTCAGTGACAGCTGCAGGCTGTGTGTGAGTCCTCCTCTTTGCCAGCACACACAAAATCATCATCATCACCAGTGAGGTCAGAACAGAACACCTCAGCCTGTGAAGGTGTAGTTGGAGCTTGTTACAGTTTCCTGTTCCTGTTTGTGTCTGTAAACAGGTTCACTGTGATCTCATCACTACCATCATCATCATCATCATCACTCTGCTTTAATCTTGAAATTTGCGAGCAGTAGGCGTGACTTCAGGTGTCTGATGTGGTTTGAAGCATGTTTTGGCGTTTGTGTCAGAGACTGAAGCGCACTGCTTTGTGACTGGCTGTTTGCTCGCTCTCCACCAACCAGATTAGTCTCAGAAATCCCAGATTGGTAAAAGCCTGGTGCTCAGCGTGGCTCAGTGATGATAAATCGGGTTCCTGGCAGTGCCGGTGCGTCAGCCTCGCTTTGGCCAGGGTCAGATTGACACTCGGGTGGGTTTCTCTGAGGTCATAGCGTTACCATGACACCAGGGAGACGCCTTAGTCATGCTCAGTCATTGCAGGAAGCCAAAATAGTTTTTCAAGTTAAAACTGGATTCATTGCACAGGACAGGAGCTACACAGGGTGGTTCTGCATCATGCCAGTAGCTGAAAGCTCCAAATGGTTCCTTCCATCCTCAAATCCCTGCAGGAGAACCGCAGCTTCCTCTCATGTGAGCAGCTGGAAGTTTCTAGACACACACGCCGTATTTTTATTATAGCATGAAGAATATTTCTGAACTAGACTAACCCTAATAATCATGAGTAACCACGAGCTCAGGCACTGATTCAAGCTTTAAGGTTATTTACCTCTGACCACATTAAAATGATCATTCTGTCTGTGAGTCTGTGATGGTGTGGATGGTGATGCAGGTGGTGTAGGTGTCTGTGAGTCGGTTCCTTCTGTAAACACTCATAAATAAGAATATGTGATGTTCAGACTGTAAGGATGGAGTGGAGAGGGTTAGGGTGGTGTTTGAGCTGAAGCTGTAGATCAGGGTGGTGTTAGGGTGAAGCGGTTTTGGGAGTGGATGTGTCAGATAGACTGTGTACACAGTCTAGTGCAGGTAAGGTTTCATTCATTCGATTCCCCTGAACAGCTACCCTGAGGTACCCCTGAGCAAGGTACCGTCCCTACACACTGCTCCCCGAGCACCCAATGGCTGCCCACTGCTTCACTGAGTGAATGGGTTAAATGCAGAGAGGGATTTTCCCCATGGGGACCAATAAAGTACACTTTCTTTCCTGTTTCAGTATGATTGCACATCAGTGCAAAAGCCATAAAGACATGGATGAGCGAGTTCGGTGTGGAAGAACTTGAGTTCTGACCTCAACCCAACCTTTGGAATAAATTAGAGTAGACACTGAGAGCCAAGCATTCTCTTCCAACATCAGTGTCTGACCTCACAATGTGCCTTTGGAAGAATGGTCAGAAATTCCCATAAACACTCCTAGACCTGTGGAAACCCTTCAGCTGTTATATTAAACCCTATGGACAGGTGGATGTCACTCAAGGTGTGTGTGTGTGCGTGCTTTTGGCAGTGTGTCTATTCACACTCATTGATATTTGGTTAAATATCTCTTAGCAGCTGCACATCAACCAAACTCTTCTGGTATCCATCAAAAGCTCTGGCTGATATCAGACCGCGCTCCTCCAAAATTGGTGAAGTTAATTTCAATTGGTTGGTTTCCTGGCACAGACCCGGAATTTAAACAAAGTTCCTAAATGTTGCGGAGCGTTGAGGTTGGAGCTTTAGAAAGTTTATTCATGACCACAATCATTGTATGCAGTTTGTGCTGCGTGAGTCACCTCGGAGGGGTCAAAGGTCATCAGCAGCCGTAGCCAAAACATGAATGATGCTGTAGTGCATGTGAGTGAGCTTCACTCATCTTCTTTTCACGTTTCATCACAGCTCGTTTGTTTTATTGACTTCCTGTTTTCATTTCACGATCGTACATTTAAACAAATTAAATGATAATAATGATAAAAAGTGTATTAAGTTTAAGTTGAAGCACTGTTTTCTGTATTTTTAAACTTTTATAAGGTAGAAAAAATCTTTTAAAACTGGAACAAACCCTCCCTGTGGCAGCATTTTGCACATTTCGGATTCTTCTGCTCACCAATCATTCACATCATACAGTACGTATCCTTTTAATTTCAAACTGACAGATATCTGAAGCAGGCAGATTTCCATCCTCGGTGACCTGCACTAGTCTGACTCTCAGAGAAAGCAGGAAGTCTGACATTGTGTGTCTGTTGTCGCTGCAGTGTGTTCGGAGCACGTCGCTGTGTTGGACACGATGTCCTGTCCTCACCGCCTCCTGCTGGTTCTGCTAGTTCTGCTGGTTCACGACCCTCCGGCTCAGTCCAGGCCAGCCACAGAGGACACGCGCACAGGTGAGGAGCATCTGAGGTCTGAGAGTGGACACCATGACTGCAAGACGTATCTAAAGTCACTTTTCAGACACCTCCTACAGTTTAACCTGAGTTTGCTTCATTTAAACTAGAATTAAAGCCATGTTTAATGTCCCAAACTCAGACACGTCAGTATAACTGACACCAGCGAGCAGCAGCAAATCCTCACAGTCAGACAGCTGGCTTTAGCATTTCAGTTTAACTGGATCCAGGATCCCAGCATGGAACGAGACGATGTAGCCTCCTGATGGAGGCTTGAAGCAATTAGAGCCATTCATACATGTAAACACTGAGGCTGAGCTCTGAGCTGTGACAGCCCTGCTGTAAGACCCTGGTGTTTAAAGAAGATATTACTAAACTAACTAATCCAAACTCCTAAAATTCAGTTGAAGATTTGTCAGAGAAGTGCATCTCTCTTCTTGGAGACTCTGAAGCAGGATATTTAATTTATGCATTTTATTAATTTATGAAACCAAACTGAAGCATGTGCAGGTGAATTTCTGCAGTGAAGTAAAGCGGGGTGTCTTCGGCGTGGCTGCAGCTTCAGACGCTGTTAAATGTGGGAGTTATGATAAACACATAAACACTTTTCTGAAAAACTGAAATGAAAACGAAACGCTATAAACTCACAAATATTCCTTAACAGAGAATCTGAGACACAATAACTTGTTTCCTTTAATTGGCTTTTTTTACTGTCACTGTCACTGGCTTTTATTACTATTTTTAGCCTGAAGCAGAGAGCTGTGGTTATCTGAATAACCACAGTTCATGGTTAAAGCCTGGTGCTCAGCGTGGCGCTCTGATGATAAATCAGGTTCCTGGCAGCGCCGGTACGTTAGCCTCTTTTAAGTGCTGCAGCGCTTGTTTGGGCCTCGCCCTCCTTTGTTTGAGGCTCGTTCACATCTGATCTTGACTGTGGTCGCGGTGTTTCTGTCTCCATGTTATATAAAAGCTCCTAAAAGTTTCCAATGAGAGAAGTTCTGTAAAAGGAAAGTGACTTTTCAAGGTTTGGTTGTTTGTGGCTGCAAGGCATCTGAAAACATTTAGAGTGATTTTTTCCTGGTGAGAGCGAGGACAGCGCTCAGACTGGCCCTGTGAGAACACATGAAGCGCTGTGCAGCACAGACACAACAAACACGCTTGCCTCGGGTGGTGTGTGGGTGTGTGTGTGTCTGTGTGTATGTGGGTGGGTATGTGCCGGTCCAACCATCTGGACTCCAGCTGAGTGTTTGAATCTGTAGTTTCTTGTTTTGCTCGGCTCAGGTTGAAGCCACGCCTCCTTGTGGCAGACGCAGTAACAGAAAATGATCCTGAGCTGGTTTCTCGTAAACAGCGTCCCTCGAGCCCGGCCCTGTCTCACTGTTCTTCTCTGATGTGTTTACCAGGAGCTGTACTTTCAGAGCCACAGAGCCTCTTACACCATCAGTCTACAGCAGAAGGCCTTCCAGGCTCCTGATGCTGGTTTGGTTTTCTGTTTGTGACCGCTGGTCAGAGAATATGAAACAGCTGAGGATATTTCTTTGAAGTGTTTAAGCTGAAACTGTTCTGCTCACTTCCTGCTCCAGGTTTCATTCTCAGACTCTCCCAGAGCTGCTCTGCATGATTCACAGTTCATAATAATCCCTCTTTATCTGACCCTGGGCCTCGGTCCTCTGTCTGAAACCAGCTGCTGTAGGTTTGTCTTGTTGAAAACCAACCTCCTGATCTGGAACGAAAGTCTTCTAAAGCTGTTGCCCTGTTTACAGTTAGCAGTTTATTTCAGCCACATGTTAAATGTGCACATTTCACAAGCTGATGTTTCCCATCAGGTCTTACAGATTCATTTTGGCATTACACTTCTTCTGGTATGAGCTTTTCCACAGAATCAAAGCATCAAGAGGGGCACCTCAGTGTCAACCATATATTTGATTTGTGTAACATACTGGGATATTTAAAATTAGAATGCTTTTATATAGTATATAGTTTCTGTTCTGTCTTGGAGCGTTGTGGCATCACTGCTTCTGGGATTACTAAAGTGTTTTGATTCAGATTCATGTCTAAAAAAAGCGGATGTTAGTTTATTCTTCTGAATGTGGAATCAGAGCGTCTGATGTCCTCTGAGATGCTCTCAGTCATCTTCCTGTGATACACATCATGTGTGGTCATTGAGGTTAATGCAGAACTGTAAAAGCTGCATGTTTTAAACATACTGCCTTTTATTTTAAAGCAGATGCAGTGAAATCCTCCGAAGACGAAGAAGATGACGAATCTTCGTCAGAGGAAAACAAGCTGTCCGACGAGCTGTCGACGAGCAGCGAGAAGCTGCAGCAGCGTAAGCTTCAAACTGCTCTCTCTCTCTCAGACAGGTGTTTGTAATCACGATGCTTACGTGGCTGTGTCTCCTCGTTAGCGCTGGAGCCGCAGTGGGTGATGCCAGACAAGATGGAGAAGCTGCTTCACGCCGTTCCTGCAAGCACAACGGTGAAGTTTCGATGCCAAGCAATGGGAAATCCGCTTCCCTCCCTGCGCTGGTACAAGAACGGGAACGAGCTGAGGAAGGACCAACGAATCGGAGGCTACAAGGTGAGTTTGTGACATCAGAGGAAGCTTCAGAGTTAGTTTTCCTTTTCATCCTTTTCATTTACTTGTGTTCTGTCCTTCAGATCAGAGACCACATGTGGAGTCTAATTATGGAGTCAGTGGTTCCTTCTGATAAAGGGAACTACACCTGTGTGGTGGAGAACGAATATGGAAGCCTGCGACACACTTACCAGCTGGATGTAGTCGGTAAGAGTGATGGTGAACATTTCAGACACAGCTGAAGCTCTGTGAAACCCCATATTCCTCCAAACTGAACAAAAACACAGCAAATCATCATTCTTGTCCTCTTATTTTACCTCTGTCTTTATCTCCATCCTACCTGTTTCAGAGCGCTCTCCTCACAGGCCCATCCTGCAGGCCGGGCTGCCGGCCAACCAGACGGCAGTGGTTGGCAGCAACGTGGATTTTGTGTGCCGCGTCTTCAGCGACCCACAGCCTCACATCCAGTGGCTCAAACACATCGTCATCAACGGCAGCAAAGTGGGACCGGACGGACTGCCCTACGCTCGTGTTCTCAAAGTATGGAAAGCTGATATAAATGTAGTCAAACTTGTTCCCTTTATTCCCCGATCACACCTCAGGGGATACCTGCGTGCTTGCCTGGATAGCAGCGCTTTACATCAACATGAATAATCCCAGGAGCGCCGCTCCCTTTGTCTCTCTTAGACTGCTAATGTGAACACCACAGACAGAGAGATGGAGGTGCTGAATCTGAGAAGTGTAACTCTGGAAGACTCTGGAGAGTACACCTGCCTGGCCGCCAACTCCATTGGGGTGTCGCACCACTCTGCGTGGCTCACTGTGGTCGATGGTATGTGAAGGTTCGCAGGTTTGCCACGCACAGAAACGAGCGCAAATCTCTGTTAATGTTCCCGATGTGATCTCTCCTCAGACCCTCCGCCCTCCCCACTGTCCTCGCAGGCGTACCTGGAGATCTTCATCTACTGCCTTGGGTTTTTCATCATCGTCGTCCTCACCGCCACAGCAGTCATCTGCAGGCTCTGCTGTGTCCCGAAGAAAAGTGACTTCAGCAACCAGCTGGTCGTACAGAAATTAGCCAAGAGCATGCCTCTGAAGAGACAGGTGAGGAGACAGGTGAGGCGCCCTCGCTCTCTCAAACGCGCTGGAGAGGAAATTGCGTATCACAAATTTAGAAGATCATCATTTAGCCTGGAGAAATAGTTTGCTGCTCTGCAAAGCCAGAACATTTTACTATTTCATTGATTGAAGAAAATAAGAACAACCCCAGGTTTCTCTTCAACACTGTAGCCAGGCTGACAAAAAAGTCAGAGCTCTGTTGAGCCAACCATCCCTTGAGTAAGTTAACTAGTAATGACTTCATGAACTTCTTCACAAATAAAATTTTAACTATTATAGATAAAATTACTCAGAATCATTTCACATTTCACGTTATCTACAGCTATTTTCACTACAATTGATATTTGTTTAGTATTGTTCTCCAGTTGATCTTTCTGAGTTAACTTCAGTAATTACTACCTCGAAACCATCAATGTGTCTTTTAGACTCCCTTCCATTCTTACTCTGGATGGCATTACCCAGGCAAATAAAAACTGTAATTCATTATTATCAGGATGTCCTAAAAACTCCCTGAAAAGACTTCAGTTGATCCCAAATGCTGCAGCAAGAGTACAGACAGGAACTAGAAAGAGAGAGCAGATTTCTCCTATATTTTCTTCTCTTCATTGGCTCCCTGTTAAATCCAGAATTCAAAATCCTGCTCCTCACGCTGTCAGCGTTAATCTCGTTAAAATGATATTAACGCCATAACTGCATTAACGCAGCAAATCTCTGTTAGCCCATGGCTGCACCATGATGCAGCCCCATGCGTGGGGCGATCCGCGCTAACTCGCTAACGGAGATTTGCTGCATTAATGCGGTTATTGCGTTAGCATCATTCTAACGAGATTAACGCTGACAGCACCACTTCAAACTTTCCTTTTTAATAAAGAATATAGTTAGGGCTGGATCACGTGACCGTGAATCCTCCCTTAGTTATGCTGCAATAGGTGTAGGCTGCTGGGGGATTCCCATGATGCACTGAGTGTTTCTTTACTCACATGTGTTTGTACCTCTCTGCATTGAACCATTAGTTATCATTCATCTTTGACTCTCTTCTACAGCATGTCTTTGTCCCATCTTCCTCCCCAACTGTCTGCCCCTCCCTTAACCTGGTTCTGCTGGAGGTTTCTTCCTGTTAAAAGGAAGTTTTTCTTTCCATTGTTGCCAAGCGCTTGCTCACAAGGGGTCATAGGGTTATTTTTTGTTTCCTTTGTATTATTGTAAAGTCTTTACTTTACAACATAAAGCGCCTTGAGGTTACTGTTGTTGTGATTTGGTGCTGTATAAATAAAATAGAATTAAATTCTGCGTCCACAGGTGTCAGTCGAGTCGTCGTCCTCACTGCAATCGGGGATGTGTTTGATGCGTCAGTCTCGTCTCTCCAGCGCGGCCACCACCGTCCTGGTGGGCGCGTCCCAGTACGAACTTCCCTACGACCCTGCGTGGGAGCTGCCTCGTGACCGGTAACCACGCCGTTTCTGCCCCTTGCCCCTCCCAATCTGCACCTGAGATTGCTGCAGCAATTGACATCAGGGCAAAGACTGCACTGTTATTTCTTCATCTGTTACATTCTAATGTAACCTGCCTGTCTCTGTGACCTTTGACCTATCACTAACACGACCAAACAACCAGCTTACAGACTGAGTTGGAGAGCTCACTGTCAGCTGCACAGCATGTTTCTGAAATTACGTCAGCCTCGTCTTCTCGGTCTGTCCTTAAGGTTTAAATATAATGAAAGTGAGAGTGAGTTCAGCGTGCTCCTGTATCTGCTGACCGTTTGTTTGTCGTCCTCAGGCTGACTCTAGGGAAGCCTCTGGGCGAAGGCTGCTTCGGTCAGGTGGTTCTGGCCGAGGCCATCGGGATCGACAAAAACAAACCGACACGGGTCACCAAAGTCGCCGTGAAGATGCTCAAAGGTGAGAGAACTTGCAGGCAGCAGTTTAGGGTGAAAGATGCCCCCTGCAGCTGCCTCTTTGCAACCCACCTCCACCCTAGCTTCTCCATTCCAGCTTGTGTGTGTGCCCCTAATAAAATAAATGCAAATTACTTTATAAGAAAGTAAAGTTCTGACTGTCGTGGTGCTCAGTGAAGTCTCAGCAGAGCTCCAAATATAAATGTGGAAACTTGTGCAAGTGTGAGCTGCAGGGGGCATGACATTGAGGTTGTCGCTGAAAGATTACGTGTTGTTGCTGCGTGCAGCCGATGCCACGGAGAAGGATCTGTCTGACCTCATCTCTGAAATGGAAATGATGAAGATGATCGGCAAACACAAGAACATCATTAACCTGGTGGGCGCCTGCACGCAGGACGGTGAGCACCGCCGCGTCTGAGGTCTTTAAATTCCTGCCGTGTGACTATTTGCTATTAATGCGTTTCTTTCATTCTCCTGGGTTCGCCATGACCCGGAGCAGGTCCTCTCTATGTGGTGGTGGAGTATGCTGCGCAGGGTAATCTGAGGGAGTATCTGCGAGCTCGCCGGCCGGTCGGGGCGGAATACTGGAGCAGCTCCAGGCAGGCGTCACTGGGCAGCCTGGAGGTCAGAGAGCTGGTGTCGGCAGCGTACCAGGTGGCCCGAGGGATGGCATACCTCGCATCAAAGAAGGTCAGAGAGATTTTACATCATCAGGGCGCAGACTCTGCTCCTTTTCATGCTTGAAAAATCGTGTGAACTCTGTGCGCATCGGTTTTCTTTTGCCACTAAACACAGAGCGTCTGACGAGAAATCTGACACACGCAGTGCAGAAATATACTCACAGCCACTTTATTAGGTACACCCATCTCCATACTTTTATTCCTGGACTCTGCTGCTCAGAAGAATCGTGCTTCAGTTTAATTCCATTTCATTTAAGTAGCACCAAGCACAGTAACAGGTGCCTCGAGGTGTTTTATATTGTGAGATAAAGACCCTACAATTATAACTGATCATCATGTTTTTGTCTTGTGCTGGGTCTTGGTGCAAACTTACTAAATATATGGAGCTGGATGAACTGAAGGGGTCTTGTGGGATTATAATATTATTTTATGCCATGTTAGACCCCTAATTAAAGATTGTGAATTATTATGTAGTTTTAGTTTGCATTATTCTCCTGAATTAGAAGAAGGTGATAACTATTGCATTTGTTAAACTGATTTGCGTTACATTAGCCTGCTGATTTATTGTGAATGAATGATATTGTTTTATGATGCATTATACTGCTGAGTTATAAGAAATACTGTTCGCAGAAAGTCATCGCCTTATTTGTCTGATTAGAAGAGAACAGAACATACTGGAGTTTTCTGCCCCATCTCAGCAGGAGCAGATAAACAGGGAGCCAAGGTCGTAGCTTAGGCGCCGTGTGAGAGAAAGAATGTGAATGTTTAGGCTTTTATGATTGGGTGGGGCACCAGAGGCTATAAGAGTTTGATCAATGCTCCACCATTTTGAGATCTGATTCTGTCTGCGTACGATGTTCATCTCCCACGCGTGTGATCATTAAATCATCGTTTGACTCAACCCGGCCGGACCAGTGTTGTTATTTTGGTTTTCCTCTTGTATCCATCCCCAATATTTGAATCCGTAACAGTCTCCAGCCTTCATTCTTTAAGAATAAAAGGGGGAGGGGGGTAGCTGTGTTGTGAGTGCATTGGGTTGTCGGTTGAATTCTCGGTGTCATGATGTAAAGGCTGACCCTCCCCTGTGCTTCAGTGCATTCACAGAGACTTGGCGGCCCGGAACGTTCTAGTCACCGAAGACAGCGTAATGAAGATCGCCGACTTCGGTCTGGCTCGAGACATCCACCACATCGACTACTACAAGAAGACCACCAATGTAAGTTGGACAGACTTTTATTTTGGCGGGGTGAAAGCCAAAGGTGACAGGGTGCTGATCTTTGGGTTTGAATGTGTCCGCAGGGTCGGTTGCCAGTGAAGTGGATGGCGCCGGAAGCTTTGTTTGACCGAATCTACACACACCAGAGCGACGTGTGAGTCCTCTGAAGCCTACCGAGCACTTGAACCAAGACTTCCTCTTCCTGTGATTTTACAGCATTTTACGGCTTCCTGTTTTTTGAGCTCATCACATCATGTGTGTTTTTAAAATAATTTACACTGGTAGGGAGAAGCAGTCTCAGCAGAGATGCCTAGACCCCGCTCTGTCTTCCTCCTCCTCCCCAGTAGTGCTATGTGATACAAAGTAAATACAGGGCTAATATAACTGATGCCGATATATTTAACTTATAGAGGCAGCTGATGTCGGGGAGCACGGTGCGTACTGATTTATGACAAACCATCATCAGTTTGCGAAAAGATCATTAAATCACTGTGACTTTTACTTTCAAAATAAGAAGTTAACACAGTAAAACAGACCTTCTGGCTTTTATTTTGAAACTGAGCTGAATGTAGAGGTGTCTATCTCAGCGTCTGTAGTTTAACTGTGCTGCAGGCTGGAAACAAAGTGGACAGTCAGCACAGACGTGTTTCATAGCTCATGTTTGGAGTGTATATATATAATTATTTAAAAAATGATTTAACACACTTCAGTGAGCTGAAAATATGCTGCTACAGTAACAGCTACAGTAGCTCACAAAAGTGAGTACACCCCTTAAATTTGTTGAAATATTTTATTGTATCTTTTCATGGGACAACATTAAAGATATGACACAATGTAAAGTAGTTAGTGTGCAGCTTGTATAACGGTGTAAATTTGCTGTAATCTCAAAATAACTCAACACACAGTCATTAATGTCTAAACCGCTAGTAACAAAAGTGAGTACAGCCCTAGGTGAAAATGTCCAAACTGGGCCAAAGTGTCAATATTTTGTGTACCTATCATTATTTTCCAACACTGCCTTAACTTGGTCTTATCAGACCACAGGTAATCCATGTTCTTAGTCTGCTTGTCTTCAGCAAAGTGTTTGCAAACCTTCTTGTGCATTTTCTTTAGAAGAGGCTTCCTTCTGGGACAACAGCCAGTTGATGCAGTGTGTGCCGTATGGTCTGAGCACTGACAGGCTGACCCTCCACGCCTTCAATCTCTGCAGCAATGCTGTCAGCATTCACACATCTATTTTTAAAAGACAACCTCTGGATATGACGCAGAGCACGTGCACTCAACTTCTTTGTTCGACCATGGCGAGGTTCGTTTTGACTGGAACCTGTCCTGTTAAACTGCCGTATGGTCTTGGCCACCGTGCTGCAGCTCAGTTTCAGGATGTTGTCAATATTCTTATAGCCTAGGCCATCTTTATGTAGAATAACAATCCTTTTATTCAGATCCTCAGAGAATTCTTTGGCCTGATGTGCCATGTTAGACTTCCAGTGACCAGTATGAGAGAGTGTGAGAGCAATAACACCAAATTCAAGACACCTTCCAATTTGCACCTGAGACCTTGTAACTCTAACAAGTCACATGACACCAGGGAGGGAAAATGGCAAATTGAGCACAATTTAGACATTTTCACTTAGGGCTGTACTCACTTTTGTTGCCAGCGGTTTAGACAATAATGGCTGTATGTTGAGTTATTTTGAGGGGACAGCAAATTGACACTGTTGGACAAGCTGCACACTGACTACTTTACATTGTATCAAAGTGTCATATCTCCTATGAAAAGATACAATAAAACAGGAAAATGTGAGGGGTGTACTCACTTTTGTGAGATATAGTATAATGGCCAAAAACACTTTAACATTAGCTGATGCTGACTCTCAACTCTCAGTCATGACCGATGTCGTGACTGAAACATCACTTTCACCTCTGTGTGAGCCACTTGGATATTCTTTATCTGTCTGAAGTACTGTGACCTCTGACCTTTGTGCCGGGTGTGTGTGAGGGGTTTCCTTCCAGCAGCATCGTGTTTGCAGTGTTTTCATGTACAGCTGTGAAGTAGCTCTACACGCACTGCAGCCTGCACAGCTCTGCTCAGTGCTGCTCATGTGACCGCAGGGCGACTAATCACAGCAGAGCAGGGAGGTGGCTGCAGACACGCCTGTTGTCTGATGAATGGGTACAACACTGAACAAACTTAAGTACTGATCTGATGCCAATACCTGTGTTGCCACCGATACTGTCGATACTTGATCAGTCCGCCCGCCCCTACACTGGGTCTGCACTGGGGTCTCCTCCGATTAGACCAGAAACTCATCATGAGGAGGCGTCCTGTTCAGATGCTGAACCTGCCTCCTTTTTATGTGGAGGAGCAAATCTGCTCTGAGCTCCTCCTGAACTCCTGTCCCTGGAGCCCCTCTGGAAGCTCATTCCCACGCTCGTGCTCACGGGTGAGGGCAGGAACGTAGAACGAGCTGTAAATCTGCAACTTCGCCCTCAAAGCTCGACACAAATGTCTGTCAATCACCCGCTTTGCTCTCCTCCGACTCGTGAAACTCATCCCAGCCTGGAGTGGACCTCCACCCCAGCAGAAGGTGACGTTAAAGCAGCAAGTAGCTGTTTGACAGCTCCGATCTATGGAGTGTGAAATTAGATGCTGGTGCTAAAGATCATGGGTTAATGTTTACATGTTCGATGGTTCAGATGTTGTCTTCAGGTGAAGCAGAGAGATAGAAATAGTGATATAGAGAAATAGCTATTTAATATTTCAATTATTAATAAATGAGGATTTTTATGAGTTATTTTCATAAGACAGTTGGGAGAAAATTACAGAGCTGCTCGTTTATCTCTGTGTTCACAGCTGGTCGTTCGGGGTCCTGCTGTGGGAGATCTTCACCCTCGGGGGGTCTCCGTACCCCGGCGTCCCTGTCGAGGAGCTCTTCAAGCTGCTGAAGGAGGGACACCGCATGGAGAAACCATCGGCGTGCCCTCAGGAGCTGTGAGTACATCATCACATCAAAAGCTTCAGTCTGACACTTAAGCAGAGGAGCCGGTCATTCCTGGAAAACTCAGCAGAAGAGACAGCTTCATTAAATGCCAATATCTGAAAACATGAGACCTGGAGGATGAGCCGACTTTAAAAATCCAACATTTACCACTTTTATGCTCTAAATTCACTTGAAACTAGTCAAACAAGTATCTCCAGACAGCTGCAGCTAACAAACCTTCTGCCAAATCTGAAGGTCGCTTGTGTAGTCGCACGTGACTGCATGTAAATAAGGAAACACAAGTCAGAGACACAGCTGCAAACATCTGTGATCAAAAGAGGATATTTTGTTTTATTTGGTATTGTGTTTGTTGATGTGTTGATCCGACCTGCGCAGTAAAGCGTGTGTTGCATGGTCTCAGGTATCTGATGATGCGGGACTGCTGGCATGCCGTCCCGTGCCGCAGGCCGACCTTCCAGCAGCTGGTCGAGGATTTGGATCGAACTGTCTCCATCATGGCCAACCAGGTGACTTGTCGTTTCTTTGTTAAGGAGTAAAACCTGCAAATATCCTCCACTTCAGCTGTTTCTCTTCAGTTGGTCCCTCTCGTTCCTCTTTAAACATTTAACTGATGGGTGGAGCACTCGCTAACCATCAGGAAGACTGAGACAGTTATTTTGTTATTTCTGTAAATTTAAAGTTATCTGTGAGCTCCTGTGAAATTTATACCACAGTCTGTGTTGGTTTCCTCTCATCTTAGTTGCAGTTGGCTAACGCAGAGCTGTGTGACTGCCTCAGTGCTGAAGCCTCTGCTGGACGTCAGAGGAACTGCAGCTTTGCTTTGAACTTTCAAAAACGTCATGATTGTATTCATTTATTTGAAGCGGCGTGGGTCTCTTGGCGAGAGAGCATTGATGTGACGTTGAACAAAGAAAAGTTAGAAGCGAGTTTTGGTGTCATGTGACAGAGCTAAAGTCTCCAGAGCTTCCACTTCCTGTTCTAACGTGTGATTCTGCCTCTGCAGGAGTACCTGGACCTGGCCGTCCCTCTGATCCAGTACACTCCGGTCCAGTACTCCCCGGTCAGCGCCTCCTCAGCTTACTCCTCCATCTCGACATAATCCTCCCGGGAGCCATTCTCCTTCCTGAATCATCTTCCTCCCATTTCCTGCACAGCGGTGGCGGTGGCGGCCCTGGGACGAGCTGCTTGGCTGCGGCCTGATGTGAAGAACAGCTGGACTGAGCTGAGATCAGGAAACAGCACGGACTGACGAGATGTCCTCAGTGTGAATATTGTACATAAAGTTTGTCTCATCTGAGAAACGGGACATGAAAGGGTCAAGGTGGGAGCGAGAGTCTGTATAAATGTATAAATGTGTAAAACTCAAATCTCCCTGATGCTCCTGAATGCCTCGTTTATGGATTTTCTTTCTTAGATCTGTAAAATAACTGATTAACATATTAAAATACCAGAGTTTTTAATGCTTTGTGGATTAAATGTGAGTTATTCTTTAGAATAACTTCATAAGCAGCTGTTTGTTTCCTCAGAAAGTGAAACAATGAGTCTAAGGAAGCACGGACATTAGAAAATGTCTCTGATGATTGATTTTTTTTTTCTAGTCTTTGTTTTTCGTCATAATAACTAAGGTCAGCTTTAGTTTGAGCTGTAATAACTTTGATCACATCATCCTGGTGCAGACGAGAGGATCGGTTGCAAGCGCGTTCATAAATGGTTTCTTACAAAGTTCTGTCTGAATATATATATTTGAATGATATTGGGTTTGAGATGGTGTGGCGCAGATGGACGGCCTCAGAAGTGGAGGCCCCATTGATGAGGAGAGTCTTCATCATGGCTCACACAAACATGGCATTTTGCTCCCACAGAGAGGAAACCTGATGGTGTTTCAGGTGCTTGTCTGTCTGCTTCAGCCTGTCTTTCCTGTTTCCTGCGCTAATACCATCAGTTTCCCCTCAAGCTTCCATGAATGTCTAAATCCTCTCCAGAGGGAGCTCTGCTGGTAAGATGTGATGATCGCAGCACAGGAAACATTTCAGATTCAGTTATTCACATTTGTGCTCAGCTTAGCTTAGCTTAGCATAACTGATCAGCAGGTAAAAAAGTAAGAGGAAATCTCATCTCAACAGGTCTATTTTATTTTTGTGGGACTAAAGTTATCTGTAATTCATTAACAGTTATTGCAATCTTCTTGCACTTCCTCCGGTGTCCAGCAGAGGCAGCACTGAGTGGTTTCCATACGCTCCCATGTTAAACCTTTACAGTACAAATAAACAGGTTTACACATTTACACTTTTACAATACACAAACTGCTTGGTCTCTGTTGATCATTTTTAAATAATTTCCTCTGCATGGGGAGTTTGCATTGTTAGGGGCGTGGCCTTTTTGACTGATGGGTGGATGGCGACACAGCCGGCTGTAGCTGCTAGCTGTCTGCTAACTTCACCTGAACTGGACCACTGGACCACTAATCATGCCTCAGTTTGTTCTTCATGTTCTGTATCATTGATCTGATCTTGCAACATTAAATATAACAGAGTAAAACTCTGACCTTAAACTTCATTCACCTCACCTGTTCTCTTGGGGTCTAACCCTCTCGTTTCACTTGTGCAGAGACAGAAACTTCGGTAAAAACAGAGCGCTGTGTTTCTGGTTCCAGGAAAAGCCTGATGGAGGCTAATCATCCAGACTAGCGAGCTGAAGACCCATCGTTACCTTCAGTGACAGATGGCTGAGGGTTGCTCACATTACACCTGCAGGAGTGTGGATGTGACTCTGGGTTACCTGTGAACGAAGGTTCTTTCATGTGGTGTCAGAAAAATCAGGAAAACCAACATTTCACTGGGAAACAGTGATGAAGGACACCATAAACCATAAAGAGCAAAACATTCTCTGTGATTCAGAGTTTAACTGTATCTTCAACAGATGAAGATGTGATCAGCACCAGCCCTGTGGGCTTAGCAGGCCACAAAGTACAGCTTTGATATCGATATCCATCTTACTAATTTCAGTTTTTACAGAACAAATCAGCCTGAATGACATGACCACACTGTTCACGCTGTAGAAGGACCGCTATTGGTGAATGATCACCAGAGTAAAGCCCCACACTGAACTGATACCTCAGCCCTGAAAGGCCCAAGCACTCCCAAAAAGGGGACTTCGATCAAAAACAAAATAAAAAAGTGATTGATAACCCAAATCCATATTACCATTTTATTGAATTTATAACATGAAACCAGGTTGTTCATGTAAACAAGCTCAGTTATTTATTAGAAGTAGTGAAGTGATCATGTTGTTTAAAGGTCCTTACAATAAGCTCTTAATTCATCAGAATCAGAATACTGTAATAATCCCTAAAGAAATTAATGAAGAAACAACTGCAGACACAACAACATAAATTAGGCTGGACGCTGCTGTAATAATAATAATAATAATAATACATTTTATTTGAGGGCGCCTTTCAGAGACCCAAGGTCACCTTACAAAAACACAATTAATAAAAGGAACAATAGTCATAAAATACATAAAATAAGTTAAAATTACAAAACAGAGCGTGACAACAGATAAAATCAGCACTAGAGCGAATAAGCCAGTTTAAACAGATGTGTTTTGAGCTGTGTCTTAAATACGGAGAGGGAGTCAATATTTCTTAGTGCAGGAGGAAGAGAGTTCCAGAGCCGAGGAGCAGAGCGACTGAAAGCTCTGTTCCCCCATAGTGATAAGGTGTGAGGACGGAACAGTAAGATGAATAGCAGATGATGATCTGAGAGGGCGGGAAACAGTGGTGATATGGAGCAGGTCACACAAATATGAAGGAGCAGATTTATGGATACACTTGTATGCAAGAAGTAAGATTTTAAAATTTATCCTGGCTTCTATGGGCAACCAGTGAAGCTGCTGAAGAACTGGGGTAATATGAGCACTTAACGGAGTGCAAGTTATGACCCGAGCTGCAGAATTTTGAAGAAGTTGGAGTTTATGAAGGGACCTTTTAGGGAGACCAAATAGGAGGGAATTACAGTAATCAATACGGGACGTAATAAGACTATGGACAAGGATGGCAGCAGCATGGGGAGTAAGGAAGGGACGGAGTCGGTGAATATTACGTAAATGGAAGTAAGCAGACCGTGTTATGTAATTAATGTGAGACTGGAATGAAAGAGTATTATCAAGTATGATACAAGTGTTATACCAATTTAAACCAGAAGGTGTCAATGTAACCTCAATATAACCTATTGACAGAAGTATTTCTCACTATAAGATTTGACAAAATAAGTATTTAGCATGACATTTTGGGGATTTTACTGGCTTCACAGCTTGTGTTTCCTTGCAGATGTTAAATGTAACATATGAGCTAAATTATAAACTTCACGTAAACAACCACAAAAACACCACAGAATCAAAGGTCCTGCCTCCCCACAGGAACGAGCACACATACAGTCATGCTTGTCTAAGAAGTCCAACAGAAGCAGCAGGGAATCAATCACTGCTGTGATCAGTGAAGCAGTTTCCTCCAATAATCAATAATATCTGTAATCAGAAGTCGATGAATGTGCTGTTCTTTAGCTACCTATCGGTAGGATCTGCTGCAGATCGATATCAGATCTCTAATGCTCTCTTTACATTTTAAAGAGTCCTGAGAATGAGACTTTGGACGAATGTGGGTTATTGGGTAATTATTGATTATTGATTACTGGTATAAATGCTGTCAGTAAAGTGGTAATCAATGAGAGGATCATTCAGTGTTTATGAGTTTCCTTTAGTAATCTGTGAGGGTGATTTAAAAAAACACGATGCACAGTAAACAAAGTATCAAATGAAAGATTTATTCTTATAACACATGTCATTAC